AGCGACTTCAGCCCCGGCCTCGCCCAGCAGGGGGCGCTGTGGGGAGCGGGGGGTAGGCACAGGGCGTTCCAGAGCAATGCCTGCCCTGTGCCATGCCCTGGCGCGTGCCCGCAGGGTACTCACGGGCACAGGTGGGGCAGCAGTGGTGCGGCCCGGGCGGCTGGATCTGGCTCCTGGGGCAGCCCACCAGGCTGGGGCACTGTCTGCGGTAGCAGCGCACGTGCGGCCCCCCGGCCGCCAGCAGCTGGAACAAAAGACAGAGGCCAGGCTGGTTACTGTCCTGCCCCCCCCCCCCAGCACAGATCCTGCCAGCCCAGTCGGAATAACCCCCCCACAAAAGCCTCCAGACGGGAGAGCAGCCCCTCAAAGCCGCGGCACCCGCAGGGCGAGTGTACAGTGTGGGAGGCCTGGGGGAGCCCCCAGCCTGGGAGGAGGGGATAGAACAGTGTTTGCCCCCTGTTCCCTTACCTCACAGGTGCAGATCTCGCAGGGGTCCAGCGACGGCTGGAAGCTCTCCCCGGGGCTGTACGGCCGGCCCTCGAACACACAGTCTGGGGAGAAAACCCGCTCAGCGCAGTTGGGGGAGTCCCCATTCCTCTCCCAGAGCCAGGGACAGAACCCAGGAGTCCTGGCTCCCAGCCCCACCCCACTCTAACCACTAAATCCCACTCCCCTCCCAGAGCCGGGGACAGAACCCAGGAGTCCCGGCTCCCAGCCCTGCCCCACTCTAACCACTAAACCTCACTCCCCTCCCAGAGCCGGGGACAGAACCCAGGAGTCCTGGCTCCCAGATCAGCCACTAGTCAAAGAAACAGTAAACGTAGAATCACTGTTGATAACGCCTGTGGCTGGGGGGCGGGGAGGTTAATAATGCTGAGGAGGGGCCGTCCCATGGTGCCATCTGCCTCGCCTGGCCCATTCAAACAAAATGGGTCAATGCAGCCAAATGCAAAGTCCCCCGTGCAGGACCGAGGGGCGCAGGCCGCACAGAGCGGGGCCTGTACCCGCAGAGTGGAGACGCTGGGCGGGATCCGGGGCTCACAGTCGATAAGCGACTCCACACGCCCAGCGCCAGGCTGTGATCCTCGGGCGCACACACAGGGCCACCGGGCGTGAGGACGTCCTGGGGCACTAACGTGTGCACAGCCGGACACGCCCAGCAGAGCTCCGCCCCCTGGGGCCTGTCTGGGAGGCGCTTTGGCCACAGGTCTCTGGGCTCGATACGGGGGTGACAGGGACAGCTCTCTGGCCTGTGCCAGGTGTGTGTGTGTGTGTCAGACAGTCCCGTCCAGCCTTTGACTCTACGACCCCACGGCTCCAGCCCCCGTGCCCTCTTCTACAGCACTGTCCACCTCTGAGCCCCCTGTGCCCCCTCCCCGTCCCCGTGTGGGCCTGGCAGAGCCGCGCCCGCCCTCGCACCTGCGCACAGTGGGCAGCATTCCCCGGGCACCTGGACGGGGCGGAGGCAGGAGCCGAGGCAGCGGATCTGGGCGCAGGTGGCGATGCCGTGGGTGCACAGGCAGGACACGCAGGGGGAGGAGAACCAGCTGGTGCCGTTGGCATGCTCCTGCCCGTCGTACATGCAGCCTGCGGGCACCGGGAGAGCAGCGGGTCAGACTCACGCCAATGTCACACCTCTGCCCTCTGCACAGGAGCATCAGGCCGATACGGACCAATGGGCACCCACTGCCCCATGCCAGAGCCTGCAGCGGCCTGCCCGGGGGGACACTATCGGCCCAATATGGACCAACAGAAGTCGCTGACCCCCCATGCTAAGGAGTCATTATTGACTGATAGTGACCACTTGTTTGGGGTGGAGTTATGTAGATGGCCCGCCTCTCTTAAAGGGATAGGCCCGCCGCCCCCGGGGGACATTGGGCGGGCAGCGCCCAGGGCATGTGGTACCTTTGCAGCGGGGGCAGCAGTCCCCGGGCTCTATCACCTGGTGGGTGCACGTCAGCGGGGGGCACGGGGCCTTCACGCAGAGCACGTCCCCACCCTGAGAGGGGAAAGGCAAAGCCGTCAGCGTGGGGGGAGCCCCCAGCCTGGGACACGCCCCCTCCACCCGGAGGGAACCCGTCTGGAGCACGAACGGGGGCTGGAGATCGGGGCTGGGGAATGGGTCGATGGGGCTCTTGCCCCAGCTGCGGGTGCCGGCGCCCAGGGTCAAAGGGCGAACGCTCTTCGTCTGGACCGTGTCTTCGCTGACCAGCGGCGTTTGGGCAGAACATTTGCACCAAGTCTCCGGTCGCTGCCACCTAGTGAAAAACATCAAGCAAACGCACCCCAGCCGGGGGGCCTGTCGCCGGGCCTGGGACAGTGCCGCTTTGGGGGCTTGGAAAAACACCTGCAAAACAATCAAATCCTGGGACCCACACGCCCAGGCGGGGCCAGTACAGCCGGGTCCAACCTGCCTCCCCGGGCACACTGTGACCCACACATGTAACCCACACTGTGACCTACACACGCCCAGGCAGGGTCAGTACCCCCGGGGCACAGCGAAGGGGCCGTGGGGGGCTCTCCCCAGAGGGAAGAACCAGCTGGTGCTCATGGGCATTGCACACACAGTCCCCGCCCCAGCCCCCAGGAACCTGGCGGCCTCAGCCCATGTGGCGTTAGTGCCCAGCTCCCTGGAGCCCTGGAACGGCTGGCTGGCCCCCACTCGCAGCTCTCGCTGCCCTCCCAGTCTGTGCCCCAGAGATGGGCGTGGTGCTGGGGGGGTCTGGCTGACACGCCCGCCCTGACCTGGGCAAGGAACGCCCGGCACTGAGCCAGCCGGGCACCAAGGCCCCGAGCCAGCCTGCTGAGACAGGAGGGGGGTGGGGGAAAGACAGACACAGACACTCAGGAGCCATGCTCGGGTCCCAGCCCTGGGCACTGCTTGAGCCTGTACCTCGTTCTGTGGGTGCAGGGGGGGCTCCGTGGCAGGGACAAAGGGCATAGGGTGGGGAGATGGGGCACCAGCGGAGCTGGGGGCGGTGTGGCCAGGTAGGGGGCAGTGAGGCCAGGAGAGCGGGCAAGTAGGGGGTGGTGCAGCCAGGGGAGGGGTGGGGGGGAGGTTGGGGGGCTGCAGGGGGAGCCAGCTAGTCTTGGCAGCTAATCTTGGGGCATGGGGGGCTGGGGGATGAAGGCAGCCCAGCTGCCCCCCCCAGGGGTAGGGGAGACCGCAGGGGGATCCAGGCATCTCCACCCCCACCCTGCCACGGTCCCATGGTGCAGGGGATCTCGGGGCAGGCCCCGGACGTGTGGGGTCACTGCCCCTCTGCCCCCGCTGCACTGAGCCCCAGGGCGCCTGGCCTGGTCCTGCCAGGGAGTGAGTTCCCACCGGGAGGGTGGGGCCAGGCCTGGGGAGATGTGCGGGGGCCCAGACCGACGGGGGCGGGGGGCTCTAGGGGACTCTTACCACGCAGGAGCACCGCTGGCAGGGGTCCGTCGGGGACGGCCAGTGCGAGCCCTCGGGATACGCCTGCCCCCCGTGCCGGCACACTGAGACAGAGAGGGGGGTCAGTGCCGCCCTCTCGCCCTGGCCAGATGTGCTGAAGTGAACCACTGCAGGGGGCTGCCCATCCCCACGGCCCTCCCCCATCCCCTTGGCTCTCCCCCCACCCCCCGGCTGGGCCGTGCCCCCACCCCTCCCCCCATCCCCACGGCCCTCCCGCATCCCCCTGGCTCTCCCCCCATCCCCCGGCTGGGCCGTGCCCCCACCCCTCCCCCCAGCCCCCTGCCCTTGGCCATGCCCCCACCCTCCCCCCGGCTCTCCCCCATCCCCCAGGCTATGCCTTGCCAGCAGCGCCCCCTAGTGGAGGCAGCTCAGCTGGCACCGCTGTGGCTTCTGCTGTCCCCGAACCCGCCCAGCCGCCCGCAGCAGCAGCTAGGAGGCAGGAGGAGGCAGCGCCGTGCGCGGGGCCCCCGAGAGGCAGCGGGCTCCTCACCTGGACACTCGGGGCAGCAGTGGCCCGGGCGCCGGACGGGGCTGGCACAGGCGGCCTGGGGGCACAGGACGGGGGTGCAGAGCACGTTGCCATGCAGGCAGCGGCAGCGCTGGCAGGGGTCCGAGGGCGGGGTGACGGCCTGGTGGCTGGCGAGCTCCTGGCCCTCGAAGAGGCAGCGGTTGCAGTCGGGGCAGCAGGAGGGGGCGGCGGGCGGCACGGGGTGGGTGCATTGTTGCAGGCAGGGCTCGCGCTGGCACGTCACTGCTTCGTCCTGCGGGCACACGGGGCTGTTAGGCTGCGGGCAGGGGGCTCGCAAGGGAAGGTGGGGGAGGAGTACCCGAGACAGCAGGGGGTGTCTGAGAAGAGCAGGGCTGGAGGGGGGGGG